AGAAAAGAATTTAGTTTTACTACATTTATAAGATGAAAATTCAATTCACTGATTGTATATTTTTTTCCAATGAGCACAATGTTTCTTTTTGCATCAGCCAAGATAAAAGAGATAAAAATTTAACAATTTTCATTTATTTATCTTCATTTGTTTCTTGTTTTGTTTTTCTTCTTCATATGTAATACGTAAATAAGAGTATAATGTAAAATTATACAGAATTACGTCTGTTTTTTTTATAACAGTGCAATATGTTTCCAGTTAACTATGGAAAGAAAACTTTCAAGGGAACTATCTATGGCTCATATAGATTTATTTATGACTGTAGACAAAGAAACCGATAAAAACATCTTTACGAAGTTATTGTGTATGAAAATTTTGATACACTGCTATAGTCCAGTGTTTACTTATAAAATAACAATGAACTAATCAGTCTGATTGAATACTTCTCTTAATTGGTCATTTGGTCATAGGATTCTAGGGAACAAGACCATAAGTGGGACAATCGAACGTATTTGACACGAAAATACAGAGCATCTCGCTAAAATCGTAGAACCATTCAGTAATTAGTTAATTTATAAAATATTAATCCATAGTCTCAAACTTCACTGTTCCTTTTGGAAATATCGGTTCATTGTCTCAAATTTTATTGTTCATACATTTTCATAACAATCACGTTCCGGTTCCGTTCTTTCTTTTCGATCTTCTGCTGAGATACATTCTATACCTGACCACCATTATATACTACTTATATGGATATAAGTAACCCACATCTCAGTATCAGTATGGAGGTTGGTGGAGATTGTAGTAATTTTTAACAGTTTAATTCATGAGTCTGTCGAACCTGAACCACCAATAAAAATTTGGAAGCACTGGACAGTCGTTTTGTTCTAGTATGAGACTCCTCAAAAGTGCGCATCCACAATTCACATACAGGATTCTAACTCATGACCTTCGGCCTAACTTCAATCGTTCCATGATCTTGTGCAACCTTTCATCCATTATCTGTGGTAGATAACTTTCTCACACTCGACACAGACTGGACTCCATTCACTGATTGTCTAGCTTAGATCGATTCATGAACTCAACTATTAGAAACACTTTCATTCGTCTCTGTATATTTGTCCTCTTTAGTCCAACTGACACCACTCAAATGACATAATATGAAATATTTGCGTTTATTTAAATTATATGTACACAATGAAATTATCTTGGATAGCTACGAAATTGAATAGAATTAATTTCCAACCAATTTTCACATATAACCACTTATTTGTATGACTGGTCAGGATTTCAGTGTAGGATGGATAGAAACACATCTTTACATTATATTTATCGAAACTTTAATGGCAAACACTTAAAAATGTTTGAAGTTTCGATATTCTTATCATTTCTAATATACTTTGTAACTTGTAGTAATGAAATCTAAGTAAAATAAACACTTACCTTGTTGATAGCATTCTTTACTGATTGATTATATTTATAGTAATATTGGAAATCATAAAGCTCTGGAGAGTTGTCTGTTCCTAGCATAGGATTCCTCAAAAGCTCACATTCATGTTTCAGCCAAAAATAAAATCCAGGACCTTTAGTGAATGTTCACAAACTCCTTTAACGAAGCTATATTCATTTGAAAATAATAATAAGTGCCCTTATAAATTATAGCAGTTTGATAGCACATGAGTATTAGAAAACACACATATATATGTCCATAATGTAACATCACATTTCTTAATACTCAAAATATCGTACATTAAGCTGAAATAACCATAAATGATCAATATTTTGTACAAACAACAGTATTAATTTTGGTATACACCTCTTATATGAACAGATATAAGTAGTATGTAACAGTATTCAAAAGTTTAATGCTTATCAATAGAAGATTTAAATAAAGAACAATCAGAATAATAACAAAATTAGAAGAATGGTGATACAACTCAATAAAAAAACAGATATGCAAATGATGTATTCAATGTATAATTTTCATATATTCTACAAATTGACTGTGTAATTTTACATGAAACAATAAATTAGATTATTGTATCATAGTTTTCATTCATTATATAATTAATGAATGCTGGTCAACAGCCTACACTCCAATGAGAGCAACAGGTATGGTAAGTAAGTAAGTAAGTAAGTAAGTAAGTAAGTAAGTAAGTAAGTAAGTAAGTAAGTAAGTAAGTAAGTAAGTAAGTAAGTAAGTAAGTAAGTAAGTAAGTAAGTAAGTAAGTAAGTAAGTAAGTAAGTAAGTAAGTAAGTAAGTAAGTAAGTAAGTAAGTAAGTAAGTAAGTAAGTAAGTAAGTAAGTAAGTAAGTAAGTAAGTAAGTAAGTAAGTAAGTAAGTAAGTAAGTAAGTAAGTAAGTAAGTAAGTAAGTAAGTAAGTAAGTAAGTAAGTAAGTAAGTAAGTAAGTAAGTAAGTAAGTAAGTAAGTAAGTAAGTAAGTAAGTAAGTAAGTAAGTAAGTAAGTAAGTAAGTAAGTAAGTAAGTAAGTAAGTAAGTAAGTAAGTAAGTAAGTAAGTAAGTAAGTAAGTAAGTAATATAATTAATGAAACAATGTCGCTATTTATGGATTCATTTATATGATTTTTCAAGATTATATTTCATTGTCAATAAATTACCGATAGTTCATCCATTCACTTTAGTTAGATTACTCTGGCGACAATTATTGTCATTACGATTATTATTATTATTGCACATAAATGTTCTCAATTGTAAATGATACTTAGTTTTACCAACAATGTAATAATCTTTCATAAATTGATATCAGCATAAATATGATCCTTTTTCCATTATATAAATCAGATGAATACTGAATATAGACATCGACAATGTTATGTCTATATTATTGCATACCGATTCCATTGTATTTTCAAATCATAATTTTTTATTCTAAACAAAGTGAATTTATATCATCTACATGTACTTATATACCAATTAATAGTAGTTATGTAGTGAACATGAACACAAATAGGGACAATCGAATGTATTTGAACACAAAATTATGGAATAACTCACTAAAATCTGAGAACCATATAGTAAATACTTCATTTGTAAATATCAGTTCATCATCTCAGATTTTATTGTTTCTGCATTTTCATAACAATTACTTTCCATTACTGTTCTTTCCTTTACAAACTTCTACTGAAATACATTCTATTTCTGATTATTGTTATATACTACTTATGTGGATATAAGTAGCTCACACCACAGTATATGACATAATCTACTTTTTTTGTACAATTATTGGTCTAAAGCTTTATAAAACAGTTCAATTTAGCATTATAATAGTGTAAGGTTTATAAAAGTGTCAACACTAATTTACTACTTTATAATAAAAAAAATAATATTTTAAGACTATTCGAAAAATTGATGTATGTTGTAACCAAGTTGAAAATTTCTGTATTGGATTGCAAAAGTATTTTAGGTTTCCATTAACAAAGTGATATAGTATTCTGTTCAGTTTCATAAATCATTACACAAAGATTGATTATATTTTAGTTAACGAATGAATAATAACTTTTCTGATTTATTTAAAAATATTTTCATGAGACTTGACATAGATCTGGATCAGATTCTTCGTTCGGTTGTGAGTTCTTAATATATTAGATGTATCTTTAGAGGTTTATTTTGAGAAGATATCCCATTTTGTTTTTACCTAGTATAGACATTATATTACAGTATACTAGGCATACCTTTCATTTGTTACCAACTTTACACGTCGTTTTTTTATTGATGATGTTCTACTTTACTTTTGACAAACCAATATTTGAGGTACCATTTATTGATTTTTAGCAATCAAATGGTTGTTATTCAGTTTAACCAAAAGTATATCTTTGTATAGCAATTATATCAGCTAATATACTGTACATGAACATTTAAAATAAATATTTTAACTTCCAAAAAATTGTATCCGAACAACATATCTTGTTTATGCACCAAGATGCCTTGAAGTAGTTTGCTAATTTTTGTTTAAAGCAAATCAGTTAAAATTATGTATTTAATAACTTATAAACTATAATCAGAATGGAGTTCTTGGAGATTGTAGAGTGTTTGATTATTCAATTCGTGAGTCGATTTAAGCTAGATAGACTACTATTGACAACGTAGAAGCACTAGACAACAGTTCCATGTTAGTATGGGACACTTCAGCAATGCGCATCCACGAGTAGTTGAGCAAGATCATGAATCGATTGAAGTTAGACATAAAGATCGTTGAATGCTGGTTCATGGTTGAGCGTTCGCGCGTTAGACCGAAGGTCATGTGTTCGAATTCTTTCAGTATGGGATCGTAGATATGCACTGTCGAGGAGTCCCATACTAGGACAAAATGGTCGTCCAGTTCTTCCAGGTTTTCAATGGTAGTGTAACTTATATAAACTCATGAGTTCAACCAATAAAATTGCAACCTATAGATTAAAATACATACTTCAATATACAAATTTGTTACTGTACTTTAAGTATAAAAGCGAATAGCCAAACCTATTATATTTACAAACGCTTTAAACTAATCACAAATCAGTAGTCAATAAAAATGATAAATAATTATATGTTACATAAAAAATTAGCCTTTTTCAGCAATTCTTTATTTAAGTGCATAATACTTTTTGATTTCATACTTAGCAATACTTAACTGATACTGATTAATATGCAAATTCTTTTTTTTTCAATAAGATCAGTGCAATCCAATTTACAAAATAATACTATGTAATGATGGTGTGATTTATATGATCATCACAAATTATTCTATATAACCTAAGCAAAGATGGATAGGAGCTAGCAGTGGAATCTAGGACTCGCGTTTCATCTTATTATAGACTCGTCAGTTGGATGTAGCTGCGTCTCAGAGATTATGTTCACTCTGAGATTTGAACCCAATATCGTTCTTTTCAAACGCCATCACATTATCCGCTTAGCTACTGAACTTAGATAGCTACTATCTTGTACAATGGGGTGCAGTTTAAATTCATTTGTTATTTTATTTTATTTCCTTCTACATCTAGATCAACTTTCCACGTTATCTGGGTAAATTAACTTCACGGAATCATTTGACTATAATGCCTAGAGATATGCAAGTATGGGTTACTAATATTGACTATTATGATAAATTGGGTCGAGTGTTACAACAAACATCGTTTAGGTTAGTTTTTTTAATATTTGTTTATGGTTTTATCTTACAACTTAATGTTTTGTTTCATTGAAGCAACAATTCCAATGAAGATATTTATAATAATAGTGTAAAGCAAAATTTTATAACAACAAATTTACTCATCATAAAACCACAGGGGAAAGATAAACGCCTTTAATTCATTGATGAACCGTGAGTATGCCCTACTGAAGGGTCTCATACCCGGATGTTTATCCGATGTGTTTTTTTGGTTTTCAGTGGTATTCTGAGATCAATCTGCGACAGATAAAATTTGTTAATTCATCAATGATATAAAGGTAGACTTTTGGATAAAGATCCATTAACTTCGTAATCAAACTTCAAAACAAACCATGTAGAAATGTTTGTCAAATCCTCTAGAAGGTTCTACTAAAAGAGCAACCATTTACACGATTATCTAATCTTATACTGATCAAAATGACAACTATGTATATATGATAACGGTTAATTCAAAGACTTTTATAGAAATGTTTCATACATGAAGCGGATTAGTTACTGATTCAAGTTTTATGAGTACGAATAAGTCTTTTTTTAGTATACTAGTATTTCTTGGCTTCAAATTATGGTCAAAATGTAGAATGAATAACTTAGTCACTTTTATGTAAACATAATCCAACAATTAGTTTGTCGTAAAAACAATGATAAATGTGAAAAACGTTTTGGAAAAATAATCAGTTTTAAAGTTGCGATATCAACGAACGACAAGGTATTTCTATTAATATGTCAACCAATCACGGAAACTGGTAGGAATATTAGTGAGACTAAGTTAGATGATCAATGGAATTCAAAAGGTTCTTGACATATTTCTCTTTCATATCTTGAAATTGTTACATGTAGAATTCAATACTTTCAGGAGTTACCGATTCTCCGTAAGTCCAAGTCCCAATATTTCCACCTCAATTAACTAGTCAACATTATTCATAAATATTTATGTCCAACTTCAATATAGTTGATTACATAAGTTACACTTTTCAATCAAAGCTCAATGTCAGTCATGCAATAGATATCTTTTTAGAGGATTTTGTTTAATTGCTATAATTGATGGTCAGTATTTTTTTTCTGAACAGTTTCTGTCTTTTATTCTCTTTACTTAGCGAGTTACAAGACTACATTACATTTGCAATACTTCACAAATATGGAGGATACGTTGATCAGGAAACTGCACAATTAAAGAATAAGTTCCTAAAACCATATGCAGGTACTTATCAGAAAATATTGTTGACTTACTATTTCTATTAAAGTTTTGAGTCAAAATAAATCCCATTTTACCGATCCAGTATAATTTTGGGTTAAAGATCTTCAAACTAATAGTTTGGTTCATTTAAAAATGAAATAATAGTATTGGGGTTGTGGAGATTATTAAGTTTTTTGATTGAGATCATGAACCGATTGATGTTAGACCACCTTTGGAAACCTGGAAGCACTGGACGGCCGTTTCATCCCATTGTGGGACTCCTCAGCAGTTAGACATTATCACCATTGGATGCCGGCTCATTGGTCTAGTAGGTTAAACGTTCACGCGCGAGACTGAAGGCCATGGGTTCGAATCCTGCGGGCGGGGTAGTGGATGCGCATTGCTGAGGAGCCGCACAATGGGACGAAGCGGCCGTCCAGTGTTTCCAAGTTTCCAACGGTGGTCTAACATCAATCGGTTCATGATCTTAATTAAAAATGAATTATCGAACACAGTATACTGATTACTATGAATTGTATTTAAGTCAGTTAATATTACGCTTAACAGTCATGTGAATCAATAGAATACAGTTTTTTGTATCCTTCATTCTATCATCTTTATAACGAGGTCTTCACATCTCGATTCCAAGTGAGATGAATCAAGTATATGATGTACTAACTATTCACTGGTCTCAACAATAAACAATAATTTTTTTCTAAAATTTATAGACCGATTTGAATTATGAAATACTAGTTCTTACACAAAACATTAAATGAAATAAATCGGTGGAATTATACTTCGAAATATTCTTTACAATAAGTGTCTTCAAAGAGTCTCCAGTTAAAAATGTCACAAACTAAAGTCTTCATGAAAAGTTATATATATATATATATATATATATATATATATAGAGAGAGAGAGAGAGAGAGAGAGATTATCGCCGGGTCTAATATATATCAAATCGCTAAGATTATCTTCACTTCTATTTCAAAAAGTAACTGTAAGCTTGGAAAATAGCCAGTGTACACTGAATATTTTTTTGTTGAATTATTTTTTCATTTTAGAAAGCCTTGGAATCGATCAAGTTTCTTATTGGCCATTTTTGTTAGATTTAGCTTCACCAGGATTACAACAAATTCTTCAAAGTCAATGGAGTTCCATTCAACTCAGTCATGGAATTAAACAAGTAGATAATTAAAAATAATACCTAATTTCCATATTTCTAATTGTAGACATAACACATTGAATTATTTTACAAAATTAACTTGATCAGTTTCTTAACATTATAATCTTTAAATATAAGTACTTTATTACAACATGTCAACGATTTTGTCGGTAACAAGTAATAAATTGTTAATGTTCAATTCCAACCTAACTGTGAATCTGGGTGATGTGTGTTTAAACCCCATAGATCAAACTAATTTCCCTAATATCGCAGCTTACATTGCCTATTAATATCACACAGAACGAAACCTATGTCGAGTGGATCTTCCTTACGACTATCTCAAGTCACCTGACATCTTGAAATATTGTATACGGTATTCAGTGTCTTAAAGTGGTGGCTACACTGTAACTTGGTCGACAGCATTTACTTACTGCTAAAGAATTAAACGAATAAAACACTGGCCACTACTAAATAATCACTCAGTTGAACTGTTCGATTATGTTAATTGTATATTTTAATGTGAATTAAATAGAAGACTCAATAAAATTCACGTCTAAAGATAGGTCAGAACAGAACAGAAGTTCCATTTCTTATTTATACTGTATATCATATTTTTAGAAAGTTAAAGTCAGTGGACAGAATGCCACAAACATTGATTTCTTAATGAATGCAATTCATCAGTAGAAAGGTATTCCAAAATCTTCAGGGTACTGAATGCTTATTCAGAGATTCAGAAATTCATTACTATTTATTAGAATCAAATACTAATTAGCACAGAGTAATTCAGTCCATGGCTATTGTTCTGTAAAATTAAGATGTTCAATTAAAAATTTACTACTGAATAAAACGATACTATTTACAATTCAATGACAGATCATTGTAAATAGTTATTTTTTGTTTTTGTTTTTGTAAATTTATTAACTAATAAATTGGATTGCATTTGATCAACTATTTTACTGTGATCCATCACTTTTAAAACTATTTTCATATTAGCAGTGGAATCCAGAACGCGCGTTTTGTCCTATTTTGGACCCAGTACTGTTTGCTTCAAACGTTATCGCGCTATCCACTTAGCTATTGAGTCCAGATAGCCACTTGCTTGTGCAATGGAGAAAAGTTTAAATTCACTTGGATTCGAGTTCCAGAGTGAACACCAACTCTAAGATGCAGGTAGATCCAGCTGACGTGTCCCAAATAGGACGAAACGAGAGTTCTACATTCCACTGCTAGTCACTATCCTTCTTTGCTTATAAAGTTTGTGACTTCAGGCAATATCGAGGCAGTCCGCACATGATGTACATATCCCAATAAGACTGATCAATTGCAGTTCTAAATAACAATGGGAAGATACAAGTAAACAACCTCAAGTGAATATTTTCACATTAGTTACATCATTAAATGTTTTCACTGTTTTCATTCAATCTTTAAATTATTTTTTTTAAATTCTAGTTTCAGAATGAAATTTTAACTCCTGTACAATCGATAATCATTAAGTTGTTAAATAGATCAATGCCTGGAACAACAAAATGTTATCAGTTATTAAATAAGGTGAGCGAAATGATTTTTAACTGGAAAAAGCCGTAGATTATTTAAGCGAATTGTTTTCATATCCAGTAAAAAACTATATTGTATTTACTATTATTTATTTGAACACAAATATTTTAATAAAGGGGCACCGAATACATATGCACCACATAAGTCACTTGATTTGTGTGTGGGCTGCGCTACTTCCCGGGTGCCCAAACTCGAGCAGGTGGTTTTCTTAGAGAGTCACGCCTGGAGACGTCCAACTAAAGGTCTGATCCACAAGGCAGTGAAGCATCTTAAGGAGATGCAATCTCATGGTAGCCGGTGACCAACCATTGGTTCATACGCCATTTGTTCCTTCAGAATACCGGAACCCATGTTCACCATTGGTTTAGAATTAAAGTTTCCCAACTCCCCTAGACGAATCCTCTCAATCCACTAAATCGGTTAAGGTGTCAGACATTCACTTTCCGTCCTCTCAATTTCGTAAACAACACCCCCTCCGCGTGAAGGTATTTAGTAGGACTTCCCTGGCAGTGGTTGCATACGCGTGGCCTTGTGAGAGCATTTCGAGAGGGAGAACGTACTCTCCCCACTCTCGGCCGTACCAGGTCATTTGGGAGAGAACTATATTAAACGAAGATATTATATCAATATCCGTATAGCTATGGTAACTATACCTTACTACACTAAATCACTCGTGTTGAACAGTAAAAGTAATCGCTTTCTTATAAATTATTGTTTTGTCAATTACAATTAATCACTAGTTTGTTGAATAACATTTGGGAAATATTTACATTGGCATACAAAAAGTCAAGGAAAGTTCATGTTAAGACAAAACAGTTACCAACTGACCACCCAGTTTCCAGTGATTTTTTAACTGAGATCAGTTCGTTCTGTGAATTGTTTTTGAACAATAACTGTGTTTATCAACTTGATAAAGACATTAAACACTAACTGTTATGCTTAAAAATCAGTCTGACTAATTTTCGTCGCCTACTCTTTTAATCAGGTCAAAATTTAAATAAAGAAATTGCATGAAACTATGTATACATTCATAAGAAACAGTGAAATCAACTTTATTCAGTATAGTTTTTATGAAGATTGTTCAAACCTATTCTATATGAATTAAATACCTAAATAATAACACGCCAAAGTTTAAAATTAATGTTGATATTTGGTGTATCTAAATTAATGGATATAGATTCAACAAGTATTCAGATTGATATGACAATTTTGTGAAGTTGACTTGGGTTTAGTTTTCAATAATGACGTCAACTACAGTGCCACTGTATCTGAAATGTTCTAGTGGAAACGATGAAGGGAACAATTCAATAAGGTTCAGACAGAAACAGTTCTTAATGTTGTCGGTTGTTGTCGCAATGTTTTAAATGAAGTAACGTTCGAGCTATTGAGTTCCACATCAGTGATTTAAATTAAACGAATTCATATTAAAATCTGAAGGTTTTATGTTTGATTAGGTGTGTATATATGTTAACATGACCTTCTGAAGTATCTCAGTTATATATTTTTTTTAAGTAGCTGACCAGTCGTATTTGCTTTTCAATACATTTAAACTTAATTAGTACTATTTTAAGTAAGATAACAACATAGTTTATCCTCAATATATTTTTAATCTAACTCTGTATGTAAACTTCTAGATTTTCCCAACGGTTCTTAAGTTAGGGTTTAATGTATTATCAGGTGAATACAAAAAATAAACCAGAATACACACTGATTCAAACAATTTTTGCCTACTTACTTTCAGATAAGTAGTATGAAAATTCAACTCATGTCATACAATGGTCATGATTCGATGGGAGATTTTTATTCTGAGGTAAGAATTTCCCTGTTTTTTTTAAAATTACGAAATATGGTTAAAAACAAGACTTGGTGATATTATATTGTCTTACACAACAACAAATACTTAAAATTCAATCATTTGTTAAATGACTAAATGAAGCTTAATAATCTAACGTTTGTTGGTTGAAGGCAGTCGACAGGCTTTTCAGTCACTTTAAACTACCTAGCATTTAAACATGGTACAAGCGACGTCATATCACCTATCCTAGAGTCTATATCATAACTTAGTCAATAGAATTCGATTAGCACTGAAGAATAGACAAGTAGGACATTGCTTACTACACAGCGTCCAGTCGTTGTGAAGTCAACTAAACATATCTGTGAGTAAACTAAGGATAAACTGAGTATACCCAAGCTTCTTAATCAGATTAAACTCAAGATGATCTGCAAATTAAAGTGTTTAACATTTAATAACACACAGTTATGATGCATATTCAAAATTTAAACCACAAAAATATTAAACATATACAAATTATGGCTTATTCTCTGAAGAAATCCCTTTCATTTTTCCCGTATATGCACATTTCATTTGAAATTATATTCCAGAATTTATTCCCTACATATCTAGTTACCTGTTCAGGTCCAGTAACACATTCTCTCATTCTAATAAGGATTTAAATTAACTGTTTTTTGAAATGGTGTACATTTGCGGATAGAAAAACTCGATATAACTAATATAATCATGTCGGATGCTGATTATACGTACAATCATACTTGCAATGGACATTTTAAACAGGTATAATCTTTCTATGAACAATTATCATTTTATGAGTTCATTAAATTCCCATTACAATTACTGCCTAAAAATCAATTCATTTGATGAGATACAAATAAGTGTGTGTAATTTAAAAGTAATTTGTGTTATTGGGAGGAATATAGTGAACAATATGTAAGTGAGAAAATCAGGAAAAAATGAAAAATGTAAGTAAAACGTGAACTAATGTACAAATAACCATATCGTATACACTTACATTTGACAACGAAAACAATCGACAACAATTAGCCATAACAAACCAATCTCCCTGTTTTGTGGAAAATTTTAGCCGTTTTGTGAAAATTATGGAGAAATGCCCCCCCCCCAAAAAAACATAGGGGAGATAAGGACAAAACTGACATGAAGACAAACTAATTATCATGATAACTAGGAGTTAGCTACGTTTAAAAGCATCATCTTGAATTAATGATAATCTAGTAAACTTAATTAAGACTTAAGAGTTGAATTCATGAGTCTGTTGAATCTACACCATTATGGAAAACCTAGAAACACTGGATGGACGTTCCGTCCTACTATGGGAATCCTCAGCAGTGCACATCCACGATCCCGCAACCCGCGAGATTCCAACCCACGACTTATCGGTCTTGTACGGGAACACTTAACTCCTAGACCACTGAGACAGTCGGCACCCAAAGTGTTAATGTCTAACTTCAACCAATCCACGAAGTTGCGCCACTGCCCAACATTATCATCAGTGAATTACTATCTCACAACAGACCCGTTTGAACTCCACTGATCATTGCTTCTTACTAGAACTCCAAAACGTACCTCATGGAGACCATCTCATGAATCCAATGAGTAAATTACTATCATATCCACAAAACCCTTATCGGATTAATTAAAACTACTTTTCTCTCTTTAATTTTTTTCTCTTTTTTAATCATAATTCACATATTTATTTGTTAAAATTTCATATCTGATCAAATTCTTGTAAAAATTCTATTTCATCCTAATCTACTCATCTAAATTGAAATAATTCCAATTGTCTTATATTTCTATGTATATTTGTTTCCCTTTATTAAGATTGCTGTATATTGTTTGTCTTTCTTTTCTTTTCTTTTTTCTTTCATTCTTTTTTTTAATTTTTATTTTTTCTTTATTTATTTAGTTAAAAATTCAATCTAAACAAAGTCTTTTAATACAATTAGTTCAATTTAATAATTTTTTATCACAAAAAGCAATATCTACTGATTTGTCTAAATTAATTCCAGATCTTGGGTAAGTTACATGTCTACCTTTTGTGTATGTATTATCTTTTAATAATTGTTCATAACTATTCTATTAACATGTTAGACTCTGTACTGTTGAACATGCTAAAAAAAGAAAACAATTTTTCAATTTAGTTGATTACATAATAAAATTGGGGGTGGGGGGGTAGGGTTGGTCAATTCTCATAATGGTCATGAAAACTGAAGATATAATCATAAATTGGGAAATAAAATTTTTAAAAAAATTTGAGTAACATTTATTTGTGCTTTGAGTAGATAGTTAGTTAATTGAAATTGGTGTTTGTTTTTCAACCCTTTTTTTTTCTGTAAAACTGAATAATTAATTTCTTTATTTATGATTAGTTGAAAACCTGTATTACTTCACTTTTGTTTAATAATCAGAAATGAAATTGAACATTTTCATGTTGTTCACTAGTGATTAGCTTCGTAAGGGAATTCTTGAAGTTCTAGTGAGAAGTCGTGATCAGTGGAGTTCAATCTGTGTCGGGTAGAGACAGGTATCTATCTTAGTACAATGGAAGATGGTGAACTGATTGAGATTAAACATTAGCACCGTTGGATACCGACCGGCTCAATGGTCTAAAGGTTAAGCGTTAGCGTGTGAGACTCAAGGTCCTGGATTCTGATTCCGCAAGCGAGATCGTGAGTGCGCACTGCTGAGAAGTCCCATACTAGGATGGAACGGCCATCCAGTGCTTCCAGGTTTTCAATGACGGTCTAACATCAAACGGTTCATGATGTCATTCAAAAACGTAATAATCTCCAGAACCTTATAGTGACATTTTCGGTTGTTATGTTTTTCCTATTATATAAAATATCTTTAGTGAATAAAAATGTCAAACAACAACGTGTTTGTAGGAATAAGCTTATCTTCAAAGACAATAAGTGATTTGTAATTACGTAATTCACTAAACTGAAGTTGGTTCGTTAAATTTTCAATTTTCAAATAGTGACATACCTTCTTTAGTCAGTCATTTATGATCACTGTAGACTTTAGCATTAATATAGGTTAGATCAAACTAGCATCCTATATAAACACGACAAGATGTACTGAAATAATTTAGTAATAACTGACATCAGAAGGATTAAACACTGAGAATACGGTTCAGAAAGATAGGAAGAATAGGTATATGTGAATGAACGTTAAAACTCAAGGTCTGGATCAAGATAGAGAGTAAATGGACTTACCACACTATAATTATTTCTGACCCGTGTTATGTAATTTAACTTTAATGAGCGGGCCCCAACCAGGTATTTCTTAACTAACAACATGTTTTAGACTAACGGCCAACGAATTCATGGACAGATCTTACGTCTAGATTTGACCGCTGTTATTTCTCTACCAACTTCACTCCATACAGGCAAATGTTAATCATCACAGTAGATGATGGTTGAGGGTATCTAATACATGTCTCAACCATCTTAGTCGATCGATATTTCCACCTAATCTGTCAATTTTCTGCAAAAACTAAGTTGTTTCTCTTTTTGTTTAATTATTCAAATTCATCTTTATAAGCATAAAGTTTAACTCTTAAATATAAACATTCTGAGATATTTAGATATTTATAAAAGTACTACTACTACTACTACTACTATTACTAATTATTATTATTATTATTATTTTTATTTTGTTCACTAGAAAAATGAATAAATAATTAATAATAGTAATATTATTAGTGGACTTACTATTAGTGAACCTTATCATTTAATAATAGTGATACTACTACTACTAATAATAATAACATTGATAATATGACTTATATTAGATCCATAATGAAACGAAGAACACCAATATTAATAATAATAGTATTATTGTTATTGATTGTTTACAAAGGTTTACACGAAACGTAAACAAAAAACATTTCGTCTAACTGCTGTAAAAATAAACCTTTCATTTAGTCAAATAAAAGGCAGAGAATAATATTAAATTCACTTAGTATTATTTGGCTTGTATCTTCCCATTGGATTCCACTGCTAGCCACTATCCATCATTACTTACAGAAAGCTTGTGAATTAAGGCAATATCGAGGCATACGCACAGTATGCACATATGCCGATAACAGACTGATCAATTGCAGTCTTAAACCTCAATGGGAAGATACAAGCCAAACAATACCAAGTGAATTCAAATTCACCCCATTGCACAAGCAAGTGGCTATCGGGACTCAGTAGCTGAGTGGATAACGCGATGGCGTTTGGAGCGAATGGTACTGGATTCGAGTCCTAGAGTGAACACCAACTCTGAGATGCAGGTACATCCAGCTGACGAGTTCCAAATAGGACGGAACGCGCGTCCTGGATTCCACTGCTAGCCACTATCCATCATTGCTTACCAAGAGATTATTATTAGTTGTGGATTTATGTTTCATTACGTTTCGTAACTAATCAGTAAAATATATATATGACCCTGTACAAGACTGAACATAAAGAAGTTAGATTCCATGACTAGAACGATAATTTGAGAAGAATAGGAGGGATTGGAAACTGGAGAGTTACGTACAAATGACAATCGATGATTACTACATCATTTAGCAAATAAAATAAAGTTCAATTTTGATTCAGTTGTTTTAAATAGATTACGTTTACCAACTGATATAATGATTCCATCTCGAACCCCAGGAAGTCTCGGAAGTGTATATCATTAGGAAGTTTCTTTCTAAAAGAAAATGGGTGCACAAAATTTCACTATTTTCAACTTTTCTCTGGTCGATGGTAGATTAGGATAACAATCCGTCTTCAAACCTTCATGTAGCTGTCTTTAAAAAAGTACATTTTAGTTTATATAATCCTAAATCACATGATTATATAACATATTTACAAAAGCAGTTGCTTAATCCTTATCAAATGATTAGTCAGTTCTATAGAATATCAGAAGCAGCTCAAATAACACAGTAGTAATGGCTCGGACGCAGAAACTGAGTGATGTGGTATCAAATTCCACTGCGAGTATCAATTTTCTTTCAAAATTACAGGTACGCCTTAATGAAGGATGACGATTAGCACAAAACCTAGATTCAGGGTTTCCTTTTGAGCACCTCAGAACATCCAAACACATTAACAAGAATATAAGTAATTGAAAAATCTTCAAGATATTTAAGTCTTTATCAACATGTCACGCTACTAGTGAACGATTAAAAAACCGAAAACCTAAATAATAATATTTCATTACGAGCTTTTACTGACCTTTATCTTGATAAATACTATAAATGGCAATGCCTTGCTACCGTAGTATTTGTAACCCTTTCATTTTATCTATGTATTACGAAGTGTGGGGATATATAGAAAGAAAAACAATAAAGCCCTTCAAAACACATTTAACACAGATATTTCCAGTTACTATTTTTGTCGTGAGATTATTTTTATGAGAAGTCGAGCTGCTGACTTTGTACACAAACTGACCTTAAGACTAATGTAACTCTAGAGAGGCAAACGCAAAGTGTTTGCACCAACTAGTTGTAATCAACCGTATTGCAAAAACGTAACTTAGTTTGAGTAAGATTTTTTTGTTTAGGTCCAAGTGTAAGTAAGATTAGGAATGTACATTAGTTCAGTATATATTATTCTCTATCAAAACAATGAGATCCTTCAATAAAGATAGTAAATTCACAATAAAAAATTTGTGGATATTAAAAATACTTCACCATTCAGTCAGTCATCAGAAACGTACAACCCAGAATATATGTAGGTCGGGTTGTATTACTGCATTATATTACCATAGTAAGATGCAAAATAGTACAAGTAAGCGTATTAATTATATAAGCTTTCTAAATTTCTGTTTGTTTTAACTAGATTATAGTTGATAGTGAATAGCAATTGAATGCAGGACTTATATTACTCATGATTTAACACTCTATATTGAGATGTAAATAAATTCCGCTGCCGAGTTTTGAATAAGATGAAATTGATGTCCTGTAGTCGCATACTATTCTACTCCAAATGTAATCTGTGTTTATGTTTATTTAAACTATTCTAATTCATTTAAGCATCGATAAAATTCTCCATTGAATAAAGTATGGGTATGATGATCTATTATATAAATAATTCCAATTAACCACGGTCTATACAAAAATGACTAGATTCATTCGGACTGACCTACATAATCAAAATGTTATACAAAAGGGTTAACTTACTTTTTACTGATCTTTTTATGTTTCAGTCTTAGTTCTGGAGGTAGTAAACTTTTTCAATATATCCACAATTCTAATATATTGGGTAAGTCTATACCATAAATATATATACCCATTTTATAGCATGCTTAAGTTTTTCCTGAATTATTTACTTTTGAATAAATAATTAGTTAGTTACCTTTACCTTAACTAACTCTGTAATTTGCTAAATAGGATGATTATAATAGTTGTTATATTCTATGCTAGAAGTTCGATAATATTGGAAGTTCGAAAAATAGAATAATTCTTGAAGGTTGATCCTTGTGATATTCAATGTGATAGTAGACTAATCTTATTGTCTAAGTGACTAAAACTGTATGACCATTCAACTTGACCCATTCTGTGTAGACCTTAGTGATGTAGTTCCAAGAAATTTTAAGAGTAATAATAGTCCATGTAGAGTTTAGTTGTTCATTAACTAGTTTCAGCCAAATATTTGTCTCAAATTTGTATTAAAATCTTTGTATTTATATACTACAATTTCATTTATAAAGTGCCTTTTAAATAAAAATTACTCACTGATTAACTGTAGTATACTGAACTATCCAAGAGTAGTAAGTAATAATGAAATAATACACATCCAGTAGAAGATACGTTACGTAATAACTATATAATGACATATCGATTATAAACTAACATTGAGTAATTGGAAGAAAGAGGATTATAATAATCATAGTAATTATTCGAAAATCAAGCAGTTGCTACGTTGCATAATAAATAAAATAAGAAGAAACTAACAAGATATTTTGATGAATGGTCAGTAGTATAGTAATTATGTAGGAATCAACAGATAAATGTTGAGAATAAGTAAAATACAAAAATGCAAGAAATGGAAGAAATACGAAAATAGTTTATCAAAGTTCTGCTACAAACTCCCTTATACCGATGGCCTTGTTAGTGAAATTAGTTGTACAAACTTAATTTGGATGCAAATGTTTAGTTTGTGAACATGGATTGCATTGGCTTCAGCAATGTGAAAAAGACGAACTCGTAAAGTAATAGTTTAATGAACAGTATGTGTGTTACTTCAAGAAATAAAACAAACGTCTAGGTCATTTCAAAGTAATATTTTAAAAAATCATCATTATTATTTATGATTAGCAGTTTTCAATGGCTTTTTAGCAAGTTTCATTTATGTCTCATAAAACATTAATTGTTATTTCATTGGACCATTCTGTATCATAAGAAAACGTCGTTTTGGCAACTAATTAATTTCAATGGTTAAGATCATAAGTCAGTTGAAGCTAGACCACTATGGAAAACCTGGAAGCACTGGACGGCTCAGTGGTCTAGTGGTTAAGTGCTCGTGCGCGAAACCAGTAGGTCCTGGGTTCGAATCTAGCAGAGGGCGAGGTCGTGGATGCGCATTCCTAAGGAGTCTCACAATGGGACGAAACGGCCGTCCAGTGCTTCCAGGTTTTCCATGGTGGTCTAGCTTCAACTGGCTCATGATCTTAAGCATTGAAATTACTATAATATCCACAAAACCCATCTGAAACTAATTAATTGGAAACTAATTGACTCATGACCTCAACTATTAAAATCACTATAATATCCACAAAAACCCCTTTGATATTAATCAACATATGCTCACTAGTAACAGTCTCTAAGAGATTCTAGTGAGAAGCTGTGACCAGTGGAGTTCAACCGGGTCTGTTGTGAGATAGTAACTCACTGATGATAATGTTGGACGGTGGTGCAGCTTCGTGGATTGGTTGGAGTTAAACATTAACACTGTTGGATGCCAACTGTCTCAGTGGTCTAAGAGTTAAGTGTTCTCGCGTTGTGTGATCGTAGATGCGCACTGCTGAAGCGTCTCATACTAGGACGAAACGGCCGTCCAGTGCTTCCAGGTTTTCCATAATGGTCTAGCTTCAATTGACTCATGATCCCAACCATTAAAATATTTAATTATTTCTTTATTATATATTACAATATGTTTTGTTTTCTTACTCGTATGTTTCTGCAAAAAAGAAATCTCACTTCTATTATTACAATGGCCTTATTTTATGCCAGATTTATCAATACCCAGGTAAGCGAGTAAATGAACATGAATATTTTGTTTCCAATTCATAAAAGAAATTATTTTCTTCTTTTTTCTAACAGCTTTTTATGTGTTAAAATGTGTTTTATTAAAAAATAAAACTGTTTTTATCATGAGTTTCATATAGTTTATCTAACTGTCTAGTATCATAGATTTTGGTAGAGCTGTGTTCTCTGAGCTGGATAGTTCGATTATGGAGCGTTCATCGTTCTTCTGAACGACATCATCAGCACAAACTTCATATAGAAGTGAAGTGTTCGAATTTATCCACATATGACTCAAAGCTTGTCGTGTAGACCTCGATGTTGACTCGTTAGTGTGGACCTTAAATCTATCATTGTTTGCTTTTTTATTTTGGTTGCATCTCCCGTATGTCAAGAAGTTCGAACAATTCACTTGTATCTGAAGTTTTTGCTGATGATGTCGTTCAGAAGAACAATGAAAGCTCCATGACCAAACCATCAAGCTCAGAGAATAAAACTCCACCTAAATCACCCTCCTGAGTTACAAATTTTTTCCACCATCTCAAAGTAACAACGGTAACAATAATATTATACTGAATATGCCTTCAATTTGTCTTGAATATGTAAAGAGAATGTTGTTTTAAGTATGTTTCTGTATAGTAAGGATTTAGGTCTTCGTAATGATTTGACGTAGACTTTTGATTAAATCTATTAAATATGTACTTAGTATTACATAAAGCCATTTTTATGTTATAATCAATTTTTTCTTTACTATAAAAAATGAGGATTCACTTTCATATAACGAATGAATTGTGATTTCTAATGGAATCTATGACTAACATTTTGTTATAAATGGGACTCATGACTTGGATATACCTAAATCTCGTTATTAATGCTTAGATTGGTACCCGAACTAAGTACATTTCACTTCAAACCAAATGGTGTTATATACTAGATAAAAATTCAGTCTTGCATATCAATAACAAGATGTTTGAAACCCTCTAATCAAAGTTCAGTTATTTATGAAAGCATTACATTGTCATACATTAAACAAAATATCAATAACAGAAGATAACTAAAACAATACAAGATTCTTAACATTCTTTAAAATAACCAATCAGATTTTACATTACAGTTAACTACAATATAACTGATCTTATTCAAAATAGTGAATCCCTTACTACAAAAAACACAACTACAAATCTGTCTTTGACAACTTAGAAAAACTCAAAAATTGGCACAGGAATTTAAAAGTTTGAATTCAGTTTATGCTGTTATTGAACGACAGAATATGTAGAGAAACATAACTAAAATTGACCTACTTGTTTACTAGCGATTGATAAATGTTATAGAAAACTATGATACTGGTAATTCAATTACTTGGTTCCAACGCTTTGATTATAAACTAGAACACCATACCACCTATATAGATCTCAACAATCGAGTTTTATCACTAACAATGTACCTCAAGGTTCAGTACATAAAACTATGCTTGATAAATGAGTTCCCTATGATTTGAATATTGACCGAATTCTTTTAATATAGTTATATAGATAACCAAAAACGATAACATTGTGTTAGCGGAACATAGACTGAATTAAAGCATGTTTCATGCATGATTGTGTTGGTGCATGCTGATTGGCTATTTCTTATCCAATCCGCGCTAGTCGATACTTGGAGCAGACTCTAGAATCTTCTCATGTAAAAACTATAAATATACTAACGTTTCTCTTATTGTACTTCTTATTTCCATCTACCCTTGTTATTTGGGATATAATTTCTTTCCTGTTCAACAGTGTTCCGATTTGGCGACTTGTCGCGTGGATTGGTGACCATGATTACTAAGCAATAGGAATAGCTGGTTCGTAATAAGAAAAAATTATAACACATGCATAGCTTCTTATTAAAGATATATATATATGCTTTAATAAAAAGCTATGCATCCAAATTTCATGCTTATATACATACATCAGTATCATGAATACAGTATTATGTATGAAACATGTACAAAATGTGTTATAATTTTTTCTTATTATGACCCAGCTATTCCTATTGCTTAGTAATCTTGGTCACCAATCCACTCGACAAGTCCCCAAATCGGAACACTGTTTTTTTTCTTATTATGACCCAGCTAGTTCCTCAATAGGATGTTTATTGGTATTTAGGAGAGCTCTATGTTAAACTGTTTTTACAGTAAAATATTGAACTACACTAACATTCAATATTGATGAACAATTCAACATTCTATTACTGTTTAATAAATGTAAATGTCTTTTTGTCCTCACATTAGATATTTAAATTTTGGATATTTATGGTATTCAGTGACAAAAATTATATCAGTTTTACTCACCAATGAGAGTAAGTATAAAAATATTTTTTTAGAAATCTTCATGATTGTAAAGTTTAGACTCTATTTATAGTTAAAAGACTATTTTCTTATGTAGATACGGATTTCTAGAAAGTCGTTTTACTAATATATGTACCATTGATTATATATATATATATATATATATATTATATTAGTATATTAGTTTGGAAACCTTCTGAAATACACACGAGTTCACCAGAGATTAAAGTCATATTCAAAAGGTCTACTGTAGTTTTTAAATCACTTAAACTACTTAGTAGTATTTAGCGGATCTCACCTATGTCATCTGTAGAAACATTACTTAACAATCTCAATGGATGACTGTTTCATTTAATATGGATTTTACTATATTTGAATATCTCGGCCAATAGGTTATTATTTCACAATTCGCATAAAATATTTGTACAGAGTCATTTGAAGGTCCTAGTTTTGATTGCATATGCACTCGACCACGAACGCTACACGCAAGAAAAAGTCATCTATTCAATACTGTATTCCTACAGTTCAAATTAGTTTGTAATAAATATGGTCTTTAAATTATCTACAGTTCAAAACCGAATGTTTGAGAATGATAAATTGCTAACCATATAAAAATGTAAACGTCCCTTGTGTATTCAGAAAACAGTGCGTTCTTATATTAAACTTACATTGGTAGTATTGACTTTAGGTTTTTATATAAAAGGTGATATGTTCAGTGTGTTTCCTCCTGAAAAAAATTCAATTTTTCATTACTTTAAGTAAGTTTATTCAACTATCAGACAGTTTTAAATATTTAGGTGATGTAAATCAGTCATAGGGATTCGTATTATTCAGTTTTTGATACCGATCAGTCAAACAAAACACTACAAGTACTTTGAGATCCATAAAACAAGTTAGTCACTTTTTGGACTCAGTAGCTTAGTGGAGGATAGATTGGCATTAAGAGAAATCGGTGCTTAGTTTGAGCCTCATTATAAATGTCAACCCTGAGATGTAAGCACATCAAGCTAATATATCTCAAATGGGATGAAATATGTATCCGAAATCCCATAGCTAGCCACAAACCAGAAATATATCAGAAGTGTGAACTATTTGCTAGGTATTTTCTGATATTATTAATAAAAAACCTCCGACTTCATTTTACTAATTCATATCGACCAAGACAGCCCGAATAAAACTAAAACAAATGAATGAAGCATATGAGATATTAAAAAATTATTTGTATGTGAAGCTACTTGTAAGATATTTAGTAGATTAAAACTGTCGAAAATAAATCACAAGCCTATGCATATAACATGGTTTTACAAATAGACATGAATGGATCAAATGTATGCAACTAAGATAAAAAGTGATTCCTATATTTAAAGAAATTTCTATGACCATTTTAATAAACATTACAAATATGAGTTTCTTAGGTTATGAACATAGCTCATCAGGAATTCGAGCTGAATGTATGTGAATAGGAAATATTTGAGAGTAAACACTGACTAATGAAGTTCGGAATTCTATTTTCCGAAATTCCTGTGTACTCTCTAGAAGTAAATAACTACATTCATATGGTTTTCATAAAAATACCAGGATGAATGGGAACACATTCTTGCTTAGATTTATGTAATCTTATGGTATAAGAAGGACACATGGAAGTTTTTGCATGACTTACATATAGTTATTTACTGACTTCTATACCATTAGTCAGTTATAATCTATTTAAAGTCTAATACATATGACCATTAGGGTCATTTACCATACTAAATTAATGCAGTCAAATGAAATCATTAAGAAAATAGAAAAGTAGACATTGTAATTATAATGATAATGATAGTGAGAAGCACTGTGGTTCGTGAAGACAAAATGAAGAGATAGTTATAAAGGAATGTTCGAACTTCAAGATTCAGACTTATATAAAGGGTTAGTACATCTACCTCACTTTGGATGATTGTTAGGTATGTGACTCAACTTCTCTAACTACTAATTAGGTGAATCGCTCTGGCCATAACAAGTTGATTTATCTCAACAAACATGGCTCAGGCCAACAAATAGTGATTCAAAGGACTAGTTCCACTCCTTGATTAGAGCCTCCTCTAGTTTTTTTCCCAACTTATAACTGTTTCAATCATCATTGCATGTAGATGTAAACAACGGTTGTGCATAAGTGATTTATAAAGATTCTTACAACTATCCTAAGCTAACAGATGTACATCCAACTGAAGGCATTAAATTCATGTATGTATCAGAAGGGGTTTTGTCGAGATTGTAGTAATTTCAACAGTTGAGATCATGAGTCAACTGAAGCTAGACCACCCTTCTGATACTAATTAACATATGCTCACTAGTGACTGACTTCAAGAGATATATCTTGGAGTTCTAGTGAGAAGCAGTGACCGGTGGAGTTCAACCGGGTCTGTTGTGGGGTAGTAACTCACTGATGACAATGGTGGATGTGTCGCTCAATTTCGCGGATTAGTTGAAGTTAGACATTAACACCGTTGGATGCCGGCTCAGTGGTCTAGTTGGTTAAGCGCCTGGCGCAAGACTGATAGGTTCTGGGTTCGAGTCCCACGGGGCGGGGTCGTGGATACGCACTGCTTAGGGGTCCCACAATAGGACGAAACGGCAGTCTAGTGCTTCCAGGTTTTCCATGGTGGTCTAGCTTCAATTGACTCGTGATCTCAACTGTTGAAATTCATATATATATATATGCATAAATTAATTCATTGGTATTCATTTTAAGGATGCTTGGATGTAAGCATTTTCTATCAAGGTGAACATGATGAATTTGACCAATATGTACGGAAATTCCTCCTGGATTCAAAGTTCATGGTGAGCTATTATTTGTTTTGTTACATTGTCTTTTTTTTTAAAGTTAAATATTCCTATTACATAATTCTTTATACTCTGACACAGAATAATTACTAGAACCTAATAAGATTATTGGAAAGAATTTTTAGATTTAACAGCTGATAGAAATAAAGCCTTATGGTTTAAATATTCAGTTTGAAGTATACAATTTCATCGAATAAATAAGTATTCCAAACAAATTAACTTTGTTGTGTGGCTTGTTTATCTGCACTATATTCAGAGGCATAATATTTATTCACTTTACATTACAAAGAGACGCATTCCATCTTGTTTCTATTTAAGATTACATAAGTAAACTATATCAGATTCACTAGAATAATGTACGTAAAATAATTTTATATCAGAAAACAATTTTGTCTCAGAATATTTATATGAATGCATAATAACACAAAGTTTTACAAAAAAATAATCATTAGCTTAGATTACAAAATAGTTCCTATTCAAGGAGATAAGCTCAATAATAACAACAACAGTCAATTGTTAGTACAGAGAATCATAAAGGAGATCAGTTCCATATGGCGGGATAGACTGAAAGCGTAATAACTAATAAAGAGCAGTCAATTTACTAGTAAGCAACGAAATACCACTGGGGTTATTCACAACTCTCTAATACTAGCATCTCTAGTGTGGCTCAGCCCGACACAAAAAGTACAAATTCAGTCAAAGTTAGTATTGGAAATGAAATCTTGAATATGAACTACACTACTATATGTAACGTTTATCAAATAAACAAACGATGAAATAACTAGGAACGTTCAATACCACATACCCGATAAAAATGAAAATTTTACTGATAACCTCAACCCGAAATATAGAAAACATAGAATAAACAAACAAATCTCACAAACTGTAAAAGAAATAACCAAGATATATTTCGATAATGTAATTAGAAGACGAAGATTATCAGAACTATGTGATATATTAGCGCAATACATTTCGAACAATCTGATCACACATATATAAAAATAAAAGGTCAACTAGACTGGAAACGGGGTAAGAGGAGATAAGGATAATGATAAGAGTAATAATAATAATAATGTGAACACAATTCGTAACCTAATCACTCTGGCTAATAAGTCAATATTACCAGGGTAGGTTTAAGGTGAGAACAAACTGTTTTTGAATACACAAACGGGGTTTGAATTTTCGTATGGCTAAGGCTTCAATAAACCTTAGTACACGCTCTTTTACACTTTTATACAACACCACAAAAGTCGAGTTAAGATTAATCTTATAGCCTGTTTCGATTATATGTTTAGCAGTAGAGGATGATGGATATATTTCTTTCTAGACATCAATATAATTACTATTACAGACGGTCAAGATTACTGAGTGCTTTTAATAAAATTCAACCTTAATTCATTATTCACTTATTCATAAGTATATACATAATAGAATTATATCATCGCACGTGTACACTTTGAATTCTGTTTTGTTTTAAGGATCAATGGCTAACATGGTCTAAAACACCAAATGTCTTTCAATCAATTTTAGCTATTGAGATCACAGGTCGAATATACAAAGATTATTTATCAATCAATCATAATCAACCAGATTCTAATTTACCAGGAATATTTCTTACACATAAAGAATTATTTTACCAGTGGATATTTCAAGTAAGTATATCACTGAGTCAGCAAAGTGACCAAAATTCTTTGTATCAAATTCATTCCATTCATATCTGATATGTAAAACAATCTCCATGTTTTACTAATATCTACTATTGTTCTTATTTAAATCAATTTAGTACTACTACCCAATCATAAAACAGTGATATAGGTAAGAATATGTTAATGTTTTCAAAAAAATGTACCGAAAAAAGGTTGAACTAATGTAAATTTAAGTGTTTGGAAGAAAACTAGGATTCCTGATACTACATACCTATCTTATTGATAAATGTTAATGACAACAAAAAGACTAAACTTTCGATGCGATTTGGCAAATTATATTTCAATGTGAATTGACAAAATTCATCTAAGATGTCAACCGACGACTATGAATTCAAATATTAAAAAGAATAGCAAAATATACGTAATGACGATTTCAAATTTCCTATACAATCTATACCGTTCGAAGTAAAGATCGATGTCAGGCAAGAATGCGTGGTCTCACCCTTTCTCTTTCTCCTGGTAATCGACTGGATCATGAAGACGTCAAAATCAAAAGTACGGGATACAGTGGACAGTTAGGATGCAGCTGGACGATCTAGAACTCACAAACGATCTGGCTCTTCTATCGCACACGCAACAACAAATGCAGGAGAAAACGATCAGTGTAACAGCAGTAGGTCTCAATATACAAAAAGGGAAAAGCAAGATTCGCCTATACAACACAATATGTATCAATCGAATCACACTTGGCGGAAACCTGGAGAACTACGAAGACTATCATCCAGAAGATACAGGTGTTTATTAACAGCTGTCTACGCAAAATATTTCAGATCCGTTCACCAGACACTATCAGCAACAACCTACTGTGGGAGAGAATAAACCAGATCCTAACGGGTGAAGAAATCAGGAAGTGCTGGAAATGAATAGGACACACATTGAGGAAAGCACCCAAATGCGTCACAAGGCAAGCCCTCACATGGAATCCTCAAGGCCAAAGAAGGAGAGGAAGATCAAAGAACACACTATACCGAGAAATGGGGACAGACAGACATGAGGAGAATGAGCAACAATTGGATAGAACTAGGGAGAAAGGCCCAGGACAGAGTGGATTGGAGAATGCTGGCCAGCGGCCTATGCTCCATTGGGAGTAGCGGGTGTAAGTAAGTAAGTAAGTAATGCTATCTATACACTATTCTAATACAAAGTTAATCGTATTCTGATTGCTCAATAACTTTGAAATAGGATTTTGAACTTATAACGTAGTTTTAATATATGACCAACAATGGAAGCTATGAAACGCATCTCTTCTTATTTGAAAATCATCAGCTGGATGTATTACTAAATTATTACGTTGATATCCAGGACTACAACTGAACATAAATATTAAAATCAAGACATTCAGCTGACGAATTCAAAATAGAACGAAACACTAGTCCTGGATCCCATGGCAAACCAAATATCAAATATACTAACGTTCTTGACACAGTTGTACCGAGCCAATCCTCTCAGGATCCACATATGGTAACAGGAAATGATCAATCCCAAACCTGAATATAAACAACAGGAAATTATAAAATCTTACTGATAATGAACTAAGTTGTGAGAGCTGTTCAATGTTACACAAAGATACATTTTGGCAATCTTATGGTGATATAACGGATAGTTATGTATATTTTTACCTCTCAGGTATACTTCATTCACATTCTATCAGATCAAGGATCCAAGACTCAGAATAGAGAACCAGAGTATAATCTAGACAGTACTTCATTCCATACAATTACGAGCAGAAAGAAACATATTATACAATCGGTAGACCATATGCCTGTTTGTCCACGATCGATAACCAATTATATTTTACGTTCACTACTACATATCATATGGCTATTTAGTACATTTAAGAAACATGTTGGGTGATATCATTTTACATACCGAGAAAATGAATTTGTTACCTAATGGACAATAAAGTAGTTTCATCATTGTTACGTTAAGTTGAAAAAGTAGGCTATCAATCAATGAATTGATTCTTAATTAATAACAGGATCCAGGCCTATAAAATACGTTGAAATACTTTCTAGAAACTTATTTGTTGACTTTAAGTAAGTAATTATATCAAGTAATTGATGAGAATGAATTCCTTCATCAAATTTATTGTTTTATGACGTAATATTTGCATGAATTCTTCTTTGAACATATGTCGATATTTTAAAGATTAGACTTAAAGTATTAGACAATGCAACCATGAAGTGAGATTGACAAATTATATTATTTATTAATAATAACGCTGTCAATATTTAACAGTAGTTGAGTGAATATGGAAGCATTGGACGGTCTTCCGTGTTGATCTAGCTTCAATTGACTCATGAATTCAATTATAATATCCACAAAACCCCTTTCTGAAAATAGCATTTATCAAAAATCTGAATTACTGCGTCCCATACACTATGCATTTTGAGAGAAATCACATTGCGCAAACTTTTAACAATATTTTCTCTGTATTGGTTAATATAGCAATTACTGCATAGGTCCCACTTTCTTGGTGTTATGATAAACAAGTTCATCTATGAGATTTATGAACAGATACATGAGTAATAGGGATACATTCACAATATCAACGAATTTAATCTATGAAGGACCTTTAATGGAAACAGATAAAATTTTAAATGAACAACAATTACAAAGTTTTCTCTTTGACTCTTGTTTCACAATAAACCGCGCCAAACTGGTCACACATCAACACTTTAAGATTATCATATCAGAAATACAGGTCAAATTAGCCAAAAAATAGAAATAAAAATGTCAGGTGAAAGAACATAGATCAAGTCACTTTGGATGCTAAAACAAAATTAATACAAATTTTCTTCTCGAACACATTGAAGGTTTGAGTTTTCGTACGGCCAATGTTTCAATAAATCTGAAGTTATTAGTTTAGGGACATTTGTGGAGATTGATTGATCTTACTAGACCACTGCTGCATCCAACTGTATTAATGTCTAAATTGAACCAATTCACGATATGGCACAATCATAAACGGCAGTCCATTCATAATCTATTTTCAATGGTAGTCTAGACAAAATCAGCTCGTGATTTAGACTAAAAATATATGAGACTATTTGAAACGTTTCAGTTTAATATGTAACAAAATTTTGATAAGCACTGTATTCTTATGACATTATGTAGGTTGAAAACATAGTTAAACCTTTTAAATTTCCTTACAAAATTAATCAAATTTAAAACAAACATTGTTATCTTTTCTTTATTTTTAATCTAGTTAATCTGTCCTGGATTCGATTATGCTAATATTATAACGCATAATAATGTTCTACTACATAGTATAGAAGAATGTGATGTAATTCGTACAGCTTTGAAATTATCACCGACATTTAGATGGTTTATGGAATGTTCATGAAAAGAACTCAACAACAACAACAACAAAACTTATTTTTATATATTCATTAAAAATCTAAAGCTTCAATGGATGGATGGATATCTAACCAGAACAGAAATTGTGAATAATAACTTTCTAGTAAAAAGAAAAATATCATAATATTATCTAGTTTATCATGATTCTGATTTGAAGAAAGTTTCTATTATCAATTTAATTGATCATAGACTTGTAAGAAATATGATATTTAAAAAAAAAACCCAGGAGATGATAATGATTTAAAGTGCAAGCATCCTTGAATCATTCAATTCAATATTATTGATTAATTGGATTAGATCATAATTGAATTTTTTTCTTTTTGGAACTGAAATTCAATCAGTTTACCATGATATAATCAATAAAATCTTCTCAATTGGATTTAATTGAACATTGTTAAAATAAAGTCTTGTTTTTCTTAAGGTTTGTCTTTATGAAAGAGTAAATATATGTGAAAAATCCGCTAATCATATCACATGCATATATCATATATCTTGTAAACAACTGAAAGCAATCCAATCTAAGGCTTTGTAAATTTATTTTAAAAATTTCATATACAAGTCTATCAAACAGAATCAATTCAATAGTTCATTTTCTTCTTGAACAAACAAACAAACATACAATAAGCTGCTAACTACTTGGAACTTAAAAATTAGAATATTCTATATTTTAATGTATAAATCAGTAGTATAAAAAAGTTTCACTTGTCCTCAGACAAATTCCTTGGATAATGATTTCATTTATGTCTATTAATATCACAATAGAAAGAACATTGTATACATAAAAACGAAAACAAAGAATTCATTACATATTAATAAAAACAAAAAAAATTCGTCTATTGTATTAAATATATGATGAGGAATGTATGCATATTCTTTTACTGTCTGTTCTGTCTCAAGATAGTTTATAGTAAGTCCGAATGATGTACAATAGAAAGATTCTTCTTACAAAATTAACATTAATCCCCTAAACACCATTAAAGAGAGAACTAAAATAAAGAGATCAATTTAATATAATTAGTCGGGGTTGTAATAGAACAACTCTAACATTTTGACATATAGTAAATATAGCAAACTAAATACGAAAACAACCAACTGCTTAGCAGTAGAGATATTGTCAACATCAGAACTTCCACTGCAGTAAACTTTATATTGAAATCATTCGGTTATTCTGAAGTTAATTATCAATTGAAGTTCAGTGGAAAAGTATAAATAGATGAGTTTTTAGGCTTTGGAGATGCTCAATTTGTTAACGTTTAATAAATAAAGTTCATAAGTGGTGAACGACTAATTTTACGAACATATCTGGTGACTTATATGTTGAAAAGTATCAAAATAAATGGAAATAATGTAGTATTAATTATTATGAGAAAGACTAAACAATAAAAATATGGTTCGAAAAGATGGAATGAAAAGGCAGGTATTGAGGAATACTGCAACTCAAGATAAAAGGCTAAGGCATTTGCCCCACTAAGACCGATTATGAGTCATGTCACATAACCTCCAAACTACTAATCGGAGTAATGTTATATTGAGCAGAAAAATCTAAAACAACGGAAAGTGAGTTCCTCATTCCTTCCACTGTTGATGATATGAAACCCATAGGAAGGTTAGTAGGTGCTGCTTCGATGTATGGTGGATTCAGTGTAGTTAGTCTATTCAACAGTTCAGTCCTCCAAAGTCCTCAACCCACCTGTTCCACTGCTCTTCAATCTTAGTGATTCTCTTGCCTTCTGTGTTCTTGACTAGTTTCTATGGTCTACTATAGTTCCCTGTTAATTTCTTCGTCATATCATATAGTCGTCTCAGATTGTCTTCTCTTGCAGCTTTCTCCAATGTCATTGCTAGGTGTTCCACGTATTCCCACTCGTCGGTCCTAGTGCTTCTCTTCACTCGTTTGTTTGCTTCTGTGTATTCGGTCTGTGCATCGGCTTTTTCTGCTCTTGTTCGACTGTTGTTAATTGAAGTTTTCTTGTTCCTCCTTTCTTGAATCTTGTACAGGAATTCGATAAACATCCATTTCTGACGATGTTTCTCGCAGTCCAGCACCTAATGCACATTGAAACTGGAGCCTATTTGATCCATCTCCAATTGTTCTCCATAGAAGCTTCCTCTTTAAGTAGAGCATGTAAGGCTTGAAACTTTGTTGCTGAGAGCTATCTTGGATTGGTTAAGTTTTTCATTATCTCGAAGAAACGTTGCATTGAAGTTTTGAAACGCTGTTTGTCTAGTGCTTCTTTAGCTTCAGTTTCGTCTTGGCAATCATCAGGTGGTGATTTGAAGCTATATCAGCTCCTTTCTTTGTTCTCACATCTTCTATTGACCTTTCGAATTTTTCGGTCATTCAAATATGATCGATCTGGTTCTCTATAGTGTGATCCGGTGAGACCCATGTAGATTTGTCTGCATTTGTTTGAGAATATATTGCTACCTATAACCATTTCGTTGAAGGCATATACATTCGGAAAGCTCTCACCATTCTCATTCCCTTCTCATAATCAGTCCATGTCTTCGCATGATATCTTCTCACCCAGTGCTGTCCATTCCGACTTTGGCGTTTAGATCTCCCATCAGAATGGCCAGGCCCTTTTCTGGAGACTTCTCTATGATCAATAGCAGAATCTCAAAAAACTTATCTTTATTGTCTTCATTTCTATCATCAGTAATTGCATAGCACTGAAGGATGCCTTGATGATCCTGGATGCATGAGATTCCTATCCTGTAAGTTCTTTCCGTGCTTCTTTAGATAGGATCAGTGCAACTCGTTGTGTATGCGTAGCATTTTCTTCTTTATGATCAGTGAGTGACAGCATCTCTCCCGAATCTAATCTTTAGTGTCCAGTTTGGGTCAAATGCGTTGCACTTATTTCGACAACAGTCAAGTTTCTTGTTTATGTTGCCTGCTTATCAGGTGCTTGTAAGCGTTTCGGGTCAAGAATGAATATGGTACACCAGAATCGTTATCTGGCTAATGTGTTCGTGTTCCGTCTGGCTATCAAGGTAGAAGGGGGAAAATTTATCGTGTATTGATAGGTGCGTAAGTATTTATCTCGATCGTCATCCCACGGTCACTGGTTGTACAAGAATATAAGCGAAATAGGTTAATGACAGACAGAATACTTATCTCCTCCGACAATCAGAAAGCAAATCACATGGAGTCAAGTAATTATCTTCATAAAATCATATTATGATATTACATGCAATCCAGTGATATGAAGATACATAGAACTGATGTTCTGTATTCCAAAAAACGACAACTCAACTACCAATCAATCACTTTACACTAAACAGTATACAAACTATTAGTTATACAACATAATTGAAGGCTATTTATAAGCTAAATCGCACACACTCAACAGAATTAAACTACTGATGATCTTAACAAGCAAACTTAATCACAATCATTTGCCTACACGTTTTATAAGTTTAGTGAAAATAAGTTCGATCAAAGCTTGACAATAATCTCATGTAATAATGTATCAAGAAAACCGATATAATTAATTTCACGATAAAAGACTATTTTATCCATATATTATGCTGTAGTGAACGAGAACACAAGTGTATTCGACTACAAAATTACAGAATCTCTTAGTAGAATCTGAGAACCATACAGTAAATACCTCATTTGCAAAATATCCATCAATTGTCTCAGACATTATCGTTCCTTCGTTTCCACAGCAATCACTCTCTGTCCTCGTTCTCTTCTCTTCGATCTTCTCAACCTTCTATACCAGGCATTCCACTTTCGACTGGTGATACATACTACTTATATATGTCAACATTAGTAGTATACACCACGATACTTCATAAATGACATCACAAGCAAAGAATACATACTCATAAGAAAATATCTCGAAATTAATTCAATGCTACTCAACTCATCGAATGAGTTTAATACGAAACCGAATACTCTTAGCAAAAATACAGGGTAAATGAACTTTTTATCATATTTTAGAAAAAGGAAACATAAAGCAAGATAGTCATAACAAATGAACACCAAATAGAAAAAACGAAATCACAAAGTAAATTGTGAATTTCAGTTTGCTTCTCCTTTTATGAAATTTGTTAACGTTGTAAACATTGAATTTTGATCCTGTCTTAAATGTTTCATTTCATTTGCAATTAATAACGCCACATTACGTCCACCGATTATAGCCATTTCCATACATGAAGCAGTTAATTCAATTGCATTTGGATAGTACACTCTTGGTGCTAATTTGAACTGGCCCAAATCAGTATCTGGATCATTCTACGATGATTACAAAATAGCATATGAAAATGATACAATTAGTGTAGAATTTATTGACTTTTAACTGTTTATCATGCTGAAACTATAATGATAGGAGCACTGACAAGTAGGTGAACAATAATTATGTTAAACATCACACAAAAACTATATATACTTTTAAATTAATCAGATGATCATTGAGTAACATTTTGCAATATCATGATTATCAGAATTCAGACATTGATAAAATATAGGCTTTGTACGCTGCTCCATTAGGAACAACATTTTAATAATGATCGAGATGTAATAGAGCCTGCTCGTATTAGAATAAGTCCAATAATACCGTACTATCGTAACCAATTGTTGGAGACTTTGGGTGAAATGGCTTAGAATCGATCACAATGGTGAAGGCGTATACACTTTATCTGCCATTAAACTGTGAGATTAAAATTGCTTTATATCTCACATACTACCAACGAATTCGTTCTTCTTGTATTATATCCTTATATGCAATCTTTCTTTTATATATTACTACCATTGAAGTAACTACTTCTATGAATTTGGTGTTCATCTTGTTGTGCTAATGAGGTGTGGAAACTTGGACCGATGTATATATGTGCCTGGTCCTACGTTGTTGACTGACAATAATACCGTAATTGTCAATTACGCTCACCATGTACTGAATCTCGACATCAAGATACAATAAAACATATCCGAATTTTCATTTGTATTCTCATCTTTTTCTAAATACCGAAGCATTTGATTCATACTGTGTTTTTTCAAAATATTTACCTATATGTGGAAAACGCATATTAAGAGATATAGAGATCCTAACTACCAACACAACATGACGGGTCGTTATTCAAGTGAAATGACAGAGATAAGCATCTGAGTCTCTCTCAATGTGTTGGTTTCTACATATGACTTCAAGATACAGTATAATTATGAGAGCTAGTAATAATATCGGGTCACTCAAACCGAAGTAGGTGGGACAGGGTTCGAATCTGAGACATAGTAGTTGAATTTACAACGTCTGAACCACTGAGCTACTGCTCCTGATTCCAAGATGAGTAGTACAAATGGATCAGTCATAATAAAACAAAGCAAATGTGAACTTTTACTAATCAACAGTTAGTTTAAGGATGAACCTGCAAGCAATGTTTAAATGATATCTGATTCTTGGATACTTGAATGTACATTAAACGGATTATCCGATCACCTATATTGTTATTTTCATGAGTAACATAATATTTTTCAATCAGTTATTCATAAGAAAGTAGTCAAAGTAACGTTAACTGAAAGAAAATGTATTACATCAAACTGTCACACCGACGGACACCAAACCGAAAAAAATAATCATTAAACAGTCCAACACAGGTGCGCACTACTGAGGAGTCCCATACTAGGACGAAACAGCCGTCCAGTGCTTCCAGGTTTTTAATAGTGGTCTAACACTGATCAATTTGTGATCTCAAAAAACTCAAGAATCTCCACAATCCTATACTGATAACTTAGAATAAGTCATACAAAGACTATTTGAAATATATAACAACCATCAATCATGAAACATATGTTTGAGGAAATATTCTTCACTTCAGATCTAAAACCTATAACTGTTACTAGACAAGCAAGTAATACAAAATACATACAGATACATATATTGAATTCACTTACAACAGGATGATAGGTTGGATATGCCAGCCAACGTACAACATCAATTCGATTGTGATCGTCATCTGGATATTTTAAAATCAATTTCGATAAAGCAGTCTTTGGGTCTGGTATGCATTTTGATTCAGAAAATATACTCCAAACACCATCTTTCAAATCTGAGTCTTCTGATTTCACCGGTAAGCGCGTTATAGAACATACAGGATGCTTTTCATTTGAGTAGTAACTTGAGATTGGGAGAAAAGTTGCCCACTGATTA